TAACACTACGAAACAATTGTATTATTGAAATACTAATTCAGATAAATTGGTGTTAATCATCGCAGTTTCATTCGATATAAAAATGCAGAAAGGAGAGTAGTGATGAGAACCAAACCTCCATACATACCGAAGTTCGAGTTCCTGTCAAAGTGTCAAAGGTCTAAGAATCTGTTTTTACTTTCACAATGTGCATAAGTTAACTTTGAAAAGGAGTTTGCAATACAAAATCTAAAGTCGATTGCTTTACTTTTTCTTAATTGGTTGAACTCAAAAACCAATTTGAAAACTGAAAATCAGTTGAATCATTCATCTTGCAAAAGTTCTCCTATTATGTAATGAGATTGAGAAACCTTTTTTGTGACGGTAGTGATTTTTGTTAAATCCGTCGAATAAGCATTTGATATCATCTTTCAACAGGTTCAACTACGAAAATGATATAATGGGTAAAAAACTCTATCTGGTTTCCTAAATTTCATCAGCATTAGTTTATAACTGAAACTTTAACTTCAAGGAAGTCTAAGCAACCTCTTTTTAGTTAATTTGACGTAAATTTTTGGATTTTACATTTATCAAAGTTGCCTTTGACTTTCTAGTCTTATTATGAAAGAAAACATGGCGCGATAAAGATAAAGAGAGACAAGAGAAACTGCAAAATAGCAATCGCAATAACTACAACACGACGTGATGAGTCCCTATCACTTTTTTCTCATTCCCAAAACTCCAAATACCACCAAAGTTACAATGTTGAAGAAAGACACAAGTTTATAATGTTTTCGAAGCAACTGGAAAGATAAAACTGGAGAGAGGCAAAACTAAACTTTGAAGTGTACCAAGAAAAAAAGCCAAGTCATGAGCACAACTGAACAACGATCGCCGATGAGCCTCATCGTCGATCACAGTCTTCTTCCTCTTCTTCCACCCTTTCGGCGTGTACTGTCGGTGGGAATTGGAGTCACATCCTCTGCAAAATACATTCAAGTAAGAAACTTCTCAACCAAAAGCACAATTGTCTGGATAATCACAATGCTTCCATAACAAAACCAAAGACTAGTAGACACATTGGGTTTCTCTGTTACCTATACGACCAATCTTCATGCCTGAACGAGCAAGGGCTCTGAGAGCTGACTGAGCACCAGGACCTGGAGTCTTGGTTTTGTTTCCTCCAGTGGCGCGGAGCTTCACGTGCATGGCTGTGATGCCAAGCTCCTGTCACATATGGAATGTTACAGATTATTAACAAGAGGTATAAACATATTATTATCTACATGCTCAATAGCATTATAACAAGCATTAACACTGATAGATTCTGACCTTGCATCTTTGAGCAACATCTTGAGCTGCAAGCATAGCAGCATAAGGAGAGGACTCATCACGATCAGCCTTGACCTTCATCCCACCTGCAAAAATGTGAAATTGATTATTCAACTCGCATAATCATTCTACCACACCAAACAGAAAGGACTTCTATACTACTGTCTACACGAACATACCGGTGATACGAACAAGAGTTTCTCTTCCAGACAGATCAGTCACATGCTGCAAGAAAATGAACAGAAATGTGATAAATGCACTGCACATAAGGTCTACACAGGTGCAACAACAAGAATGAAAGAGCAAAACTTACAATGAAAGTGTCATTGAATGATGCAAAGATGTGAACAACACCAAAAACATTCTCTCCTTCACGAACAGCAGGTCCAAGAGTGACATTTTCCTCCTTTGGCTCTCTGGTCTTTCTCTTCGACTACAAACAAAGATCAAAATACAAAAAGAAACAGATTTCAGAAACAAAGCGTTCACTAATCACTCATACACATACAATCAATTCAATATCATTACTCTCTATAATCCTACACTATGAATCAGACCAACAACGATGCTAGCAGGAAAACCCAAGTCAAATCTAAGAAGCTATATTATCGCAGATCTCGGTTCCTTACAGACTTATGAAAACCAAATTCTCCAGAACAGATGAGTATTAGTGAAAGAAAAAGCTTACCATGTTCAACAATGGATGAGAAGAGAACGAAACGCTAAGGCTTTTGGATGATGCTCTTCTCTGGAAGCTGAGAGTGGAAACAAGAAGGCATTCCCGGCGCTACAAAACCTGCTTTATAGATTAGGGTTTACATCGGGACGCTTATGACAATTGACGTAATTACCCTCAACGCTTTAATTCCTCCTTACGTCGTCGTTTTGGGTCGTTATGTGAAACTTGTTAAAAAGTGTGATACATCTTGGACTTGATCTAGCTTTGCAATGAGCAAAATGATGTTTTCTCAAGTTCACAAATTCACATTGATCACTTACTTGATCTAGCTTTGCAATGAGAAATTTATTGTGGCAGATTGATGATGGTCTTATTGATCACTTACTTAGTCTTGTGGGTAACAAAAAGTTTTCAAGTTGTATCATCAAAATCTTCAACTGAACTCGAATTTGATCCCTCATTTTAAAATGAAATGGAAAATACCAAAAAAATTCTGATACAGAAGAGAAGAATTCATTAACACTGTTTTGAATTCATAGTAGAAAACATCATTTCTCAACAAGGAAAAGAAAACCTTTACATATATAAAAAGATCAGAGAGATCTAATGACTAAAATGCAGACTTTTCTTTCAAGACTTCTTCAAGGAGGAGACAATAGAGACTTGGCTGGTGACACCAAAGCAACGGCACTTCTCTCGGGCTTCGAATACTTCTTCAACACTGCGCGTAGCTTGCTCTCCCCAGCTCTCGAGTGAATGAAAGCTAAAAGCTTCGAAGAGTTCCTAAAAGTTAAACACAAACATATAAAAGAGAAATAAGTACATGATGATGATAAATGATGAAAACTGAAGCTTGAGAAAGAAGTGAACAAAACACTAACATGAGCTCAAATTCAGAGTAGCCGGTGTGGAATTTCAGAGTATCAGTCCAAGCAGGGGTCCTGTTCAAGAAGCATCTCGCGGTGTAGACTGCTGAAGCAGCGAGCATTGAAGGACAGAACATTAAAGTGTCGTGATGCATCAAACCCAACTCAGCTAAGAAGTGAACCATGTTCTCCATTTCCGGGTCAGGAATCGAGGCTTTGATGAACCTCACAAGGAACACATACTGTGTTGGAACTGTCAAGTACCATTCCAGACTTCCCAATATGGTTTTCTCCATCACTAGAATCTGCTTGTTGGTGTATGAGTTGTCTGTGACATATACCAAATCATTGACCTGTTTCATACAACAGTCACATGGTCAGCTTCTAATTGAAAAACAATCTTGTAACATTTAGTAAATGTGTGTCTATGTATATATATATACCTGAGGAGGCCAGATTTCTTCGTATTTAGAAGCTATGAGCAAAGCACTAACACCAAGAAGCTGTAGTTCTCTTCTAGGCACAGTTTTCAGAGACAAGAAACGATCAATTAGATTGATGGTGAGGTAGAGAGTCTCAGGGGACAGATCAAACTTGATATGAACTTCTACAAGCCAATCTATAAGGATAGATCTCATCTTCTCATTAATCTCAGGCTGTGTATGCATATACATTTGAGGCTTGCTCTCATTCTGCAACAGGAAAACCAAACAACAAACTTCAAGAAACATTCACAAAACTTGTCCATAAGCATATATACAGAGAGGGTCTGACCATATAAGTACCTCAACTTCTTTGTAGAAAGTGTACATGTCTTCAACATACTCCGGAGCAGCAAGGTCATTGTCTTTGTCAACAGAGTCTATATCCAGTGTCTTAGAAGAAGCAGCCTAAGTAGATCAACCAAACAATCAGTACACAAAAACTAAAGAAACATTGCACAATATATATTTTCAATGCTAACGAAAGAATCTACCTTGCTTCGAGCATCAAGAACCGAAGAGTATGTAACTTTCTTCTTGAGAGCTGCATCGTTTTGCTTCTTCTCTTTAGCTTTTACAACCTCGTTAGTATCAGGACTGATCACAATCACCTCAATAGGTTTTAATGGCTGCCGTTTAACAACAGCTCTTGGTTTCTTTTGATCCACCTTTACACCTTCTTGTTTCTTGGTAAGATCAACAACTGAAGAAGCCTTGTCCACATTGATTTTCTGTTTAGCGAGCAAAAAAACAAGAGTCAGATTCAACAATCATATATACACTCTAAAAAACAAGATTTGAGTCTCGCAAACAACAAAAAGAAAACCTTTTTATTAGCGGCGGCTCCAACTTGTGCGTTTTCTAGTAATTGAGAACGAAAGTTACGAGTAAAGGGGCGATTAGCCGGTGGCTGAAGTGGCTTTACTCCATGGACTCCGGCAATAGAAGCGATGTTTCCGATGTCGCCAAGAGCACGACGATTCTTCGCTGCTGCGTTTTTCACGTCGACGGGATCACCTGTTTTTCACAGAAACAAACCCATCATCAAGATTTGAATCCTTGGAGAATCGATTATAAACATCCAAAATTAGGGATTTTGCAGCGATTCAATCAAAACCCAGAAAAT